TCCCTAGCCTACAGCTACTCAGCTACTCTCTTCCTAGCCTCCAGCTACTCAGCTACTCTCTTCCCTAGCCTACAGCTACTCAGCTACTCTCTTCCCTAGCCTCCAGCTACTCAGCTACTCTCGTCCCTAGCCTACAGCTACTCAGCTACTCTCTTCCCTAGCCTCCAGCTATCAGCTACTCTCTTCCCTAGCCTACACGAATTTAAACTACTCAGCTACTCTCTTCCCTAGCCTACAGCTACTTCAGTACTCTCTTCCCTAGCCTACAGCTACTCAGCTACTCTCTTCCCTAGGCCTACAGCTACTCAGCTACTCTCGTCCCTAGCCTACAGCTACTCAGCTACTCTCTCCCTAGCCTACAGCTACTCAGCTACTCTCTCCCTAGCCTACAGCTACTCAGCTACTCTCTTCCCTAGCCTACAGCTACTCAGCTACTCTCTTCCCTAGCCTACAGCTACTCAGCTACTCTCTTCCCTAGCCTACAGCTACTCAGCTACTCTCTTCCCTAGCCTACAGCTACTCAGCTACTCTCTTCCCTAGCCTACAGCTACTCAGCTACTCTCTTCCCTAGCCTCCAGCTACTCAGCTACTATCGTCCCTAGCCTACAGCTACTCAGCTACTCTCTTCCCTAGCCTACAGCTACTCAGCCCACTCAGTTCCAGTGGGGCGGCATCCTTGAGGTTTGGGGGTCCAGGATCTCCGGCTCTCCTCCTTCAGCTTCTCCTCCGATCGACCCCTCCGCTCTCCGGGAGCCGTCTTATATATCCCCTCTCTCTGAGGGGCGGGGGTGTCTCGGGCCCTGGCTCTCGCCAGCCCCCTCCCCTCAGAGCCGTTCCAACCACCTCTCGTCCCTGTCAATCCGGGCCGGTCCAGACCGGTACGTACCTCTCCCCTAGCTTGTGTGACCTGTGTCAACCTTGGTGTCAACCTTGACCACCACGCATGTAACACACTTGACAATAAAGTGACTTTAAGACTTTAAGACTTTAAGAAAGGGTTCATGACAACGCATGACAGCGAGTGACTGTAATCATGTTAACAGGCAAGGATTCGTATTCTTAGGTTTTTTCGGTAAAGTCACCGTGTAGGTAAAAACATCAAAATTAATGAAAATAAAATAAAATAAAACAAAAAATCACGACGTTTCGGAGGCAACACAAGTCTCCGTCATAAGGTGGGACCGTCACAGCCAGATTAGCTGTATCAAGTGAGGCAATTATTCAAGATGTAATCCCTTATAAGCAAGTTGAAGGGGGGGAGGGGGGGGGGAAGCTCATCATTGGCTACCACATTCTCCTCTATCCGCGGCTACCGTACTTGACCTGTCTCTCTCCGCTGTTACTCTTATATCGTATCTCCTCTACCCACTCCTGCTCCTCGCTATCCCGGGCACCATCCCTCCAGCTCCCCATCGCTTCAGCTCCCACAAAGGTTCCAGCTCCCACCAAGACTCCCACCAAGACCCCCCCTCTCTCTCTCTCTGTTGCGCTGTGCCTTTTAGACCCACCCCAATCAGTCCCTGTTCATTATCTCACCCCCCCCCGATTACCCCTCGGCCCCCAGGCCCCCAGCGTCACGTGACGTTGTTATTGCCGCCAGAGCGACGCCAACCGTTAATCACTCACCCTCTCAACCAATCACCGGCCTGTGTCCCCTTCTTCTTCTTTAGTGCTGCCTTACGGCGTGTGCGACTTCACGATGATATTGGTCCCGGTCTAGCACGGCGTGTAGAGTTTGTGCTGCTGTTGTTAATTGTAGCCATGTTTTGATGTTACTGAGCCATGTCGTTTTTGGCCGTCCTGGTCGTTTTTTCCCTTCGATTTTTCCTTCCAGGATTTGCTTTAATAGCTGGTATTTGTGGTCGTTTCGGGCAATGTGGCCTAGGTAGCAGAGGTCTGGACTCGAGTCATGTGACTTGGACTCGAGTCAGACTCGAGTCATGAATTTGATGACTTCAGACTCGACTTGGACTTGCATAACAATGACTTTGTCCCACCTCTGAGCTGGTGTGGACTCGAGTCATGTGACTTGGACTCGAGTCAGACTCGAGTCATGAATTTGATGACTTCAGACTCGACTTGGACTTGCATAACAATGACTTTGTCCCACCTCTGAGCTGGTGTGGACTCGAGTCATGTGACTTGGACTCGAGTCAGACTCGAGTCATGAATTTGATGACTTCAGACTCGACTTGGACTTGCATAACAATGACTTTGTCCCACCTCTGACTGGTGTGGACTCGAGTCATGTGACTTGGACTCGAGTCAGACTCGAGTCATGAATTTGATGACTTCAGACTCGACTTGGACTTGCATAACAATGACTTTGTCCCACCTCTGACTGGTGTGGACTCGAGTCATGTGACTTGGACTCGAGTCAGACTCGAGTCATGAATTTGATGACTTCAGACTCGACTTGGACTTGCATAACAATGACTTTGTCCCACCTCTGACGTGTGGACTCGAGTCATGTGACTTGGACTCGAGTCAGACTCGAGTCATGAATTTGATGACTTCAGACTCGACTTGGACTTGCATAACAATGACTTTGTCCCACCTCTGAGCTGGTGTGGACTCGAGTCATGTGACTTGGACTCGAGTCAGACTCGAGTCATGAATTTGATGACTTCAGACTCGACTTGGACTTGCATAACAATGACTTTGTCCCACCTCTGAGCTGGTGTGGACTCGAGTCATGTGACTTGGACTCGAGTCAGACTCGAGTCATGAATTTGATGACTTCAGACTCGACTTGGACTTGCATAACAATGACTTTGTCCCACCTCTGAGCTGGTGTGGACTCGAGTCATGTGACTTGGACTCGAGTCAGACTCGAGTCATGAATTTGATGACTTCAGACTCGACTTGGACTTGCATAACAATGACTTTGTCCCACCTCTGAGCTGGTGTGGACTCGAGTCATGTGACTTGGACTCGAGTCAGACTCGAGTCATGAATTTGATGACTTCAGACTCGACTTGGACTTGCATAACAATGACTTTGTCCCACCTCTGAGCTGGTGTGGACTCGAGTCATGTGACTTGGACTCGAGTCAGACTCGAGTCATGAATTTGATGACTTCAGACTCGACTTGGACTTGCATAACAATGACTTTGTCCCACCTCTGACTGGTGTGGACTCGAGTCATGTGACTTGGACTCGAGTCAGACTCGAGTCATGAATTTGATGACTTCAGACTCGACTTGGACTTGCATAACAATGACTTTGTCCCACCTCTGACTGGTGTGGACTCGAGTCATGTGACTTGGACTCGAGTCAGACTCGAGTCATGAATTTGATGACTTCAGACTCCACTTGGACTTGCATAACAATGACTTTGTCCCACCTCTGAGCTGGTGTGGACTCGAGTCATGTGACTTGGACTCGAGTCAGACTCGAGTCATGAATTTGATGACTTCAGACTCGACTTGGACTTGCATAACAATGACTTTGTCCCACCTCTGAGCTGGTGTGGACTCGAGTCATGTGACTTGGACTCGAGTCAGACTCGAGTCATGAATTTGATGACTTCAGACTCGACTTGGACTTGCATAACAATGACTTTGTCCCACCTCTGAGCTGGTGTGGACTCGAGTCATGTGACTTGGACTCGAGTCAGACTCGAGTCATGAATTTGATGACTTCAGACTCGACTTGGACTTGCATAACAATGACTTTGTCCCACCTCTGAGCTGGTGTGGACTCGAGTCATGTGACTTGGACTCGAGTCAGACTCGAGTCATGAATTTGATGACTTCAGACTCGACTTGGACTTGCATAACAATGACTTTGTCCCACCTCTGCTAGGTAGTAACACTTCCTGCTAATGATGGTCTTCAGCAGTTGCCTGTCAGTGCCCATATCTTGCATAACTTGTGTGTTGGTGGTTTTGGCTGTCCATGGGATTTTCAGCATTCTTCGGTACAGCCACATCTCGAAAGCTTCGAGCCTTTTTGTTGCTGTTGTTGTGAGTGTGCACGTCTCTACTCCGTACAGCAAAATTGACCAGATGTAGCATTTGCCCTTAACAGCTGTCACGCCACTTAACGCGTCTCCTCTCACGCCTCACCAACAGCAACATCATCGTCCTCAAATACCCCCCACTGTGCACTTGCTTGTCTGCCTCGCAACAGACCCACAGAGCGCGTGGCGCGTGTGTTTCAGGTCCTACACAGATGATTGAGCAGTTTTGCCATTTTTTTTTGCATAATGCACATGCATATGTAGTAGCAATCACATTCCTGCATTTCCCATAAATATGCTGAATTCCTATTGATATGCAAATTCCTTTGTCAAGGCGCCCAGCTTATATATACGCTCCAAGCTCGTGTGCTGTTTCATTCAGACGCTGTCGCCTCGACGGACCTGGTTTTCACCTGAGGACGGCTGCTTGTGTTGTGGCCGAAACGTCGTGAGAATTATTTTATTATGTTTTATTTTTATTATTTTATTATTTCCCTTCTACGTGATGACTTTACCGAAAGAACCAAGAAGAAGAAAACAGTTTTGCCATTTTGATTTAAAGCTTTCGTGACTGCAGGGATTCATCTTCTTGGTTCTTTCGGTAAAGTCACGTAGAAGGGAAGTAATACAATAATAAAACTAAAACACAACAAAATAATTCTCACGACGTTTCGGCCACAACGCAAGCAGCCGTCCTCAGGTGAAAACCAGGTCCGTCGAGGCGACAGCGTCTGACTCTGTGAGAATAATTTTATTGTGTTTTATTTTTTTTATTTTATTACTTCCCTTCTACGTGACTTTACCGAAAGAACCAAGAAGAAGAAAACAGTTTTGCCATATTTGGTGGTCATCAAATACTGAGTTGTTCCTGTAATGGATGTGCGTTTAGTGTCAGGGCAGACTTGGGAGCTCATTGTGCGTGTTTATCGTGCAGCAGATGCGGGATCTGACGGAGGGTGGAATTCTTTTCCAATTCTGTGTAGCGGCATCAACGGTGTTGGCCACGATGACATCTTGATCTTTGACCTTCTTTACAGGTGACGCTCATCTCAAGCTGTCGAGAGTACAAAGACATCGCACTCCGCGTCAATGAAAAGAAAGCCCTGAACACATTGAACGTGGCCAAAAAGCACATCATACGGTAACAATCGGTGACACGTCGCAAAATAAACATTAGCATCGTCGTAAAGAATGGGGGAAAATAATAAGCGTACAATATTCCTCTTTCACATACAGTGAGGGAAAAAATTAACCCGTAAAAACAAAGTTTTTCACTATAAATCCTTTATGTGCGTGGCGGCTAGAGTCCTCTCGTCCTCTGGCTTGAGATGGCTGCCACCTATGGGTCAGATGATTGCCTGCCACCATTAAGCAATTGGTAATTAAATATAATTAATTTTTTCCTAAAAAGTGTAAAATTTAGGAAAAAAATTTCACGAAAATAAATTGTCACGCACAACGAGTCTGTGTGCAAAATGTCAGCTCGATTGGATCACGGGAAGTGGGTTAAAAAACGACCGAAAGATTTGCACGGTCGCAAGCGCGCAAGCAAGTGAACTTAATATAAAGGATTTAAAAAGTATTTGATCCCCTGCTGATTTTGTACGTTTGCCCGCTGACAAAGAAATGATCAGTCTGTAATGTTAACGGCAGGTTTATTTGAACAGTGAGAGACAGAATAACAACAAAATAATCCAGAAAAACGCGTCAAAAATGTTATAAATTGATTTGCATTTTAATGAGGGAAATAAGTATTTGACCCCCTCTCAATCAGAAAGATTTCTGGCTCCCAGGTGTCTTTTATACAGGCAACGAGCTGAGATTAGGAGCACACTCTTAAAGGGAGTGCTCCTAATCTCAGCTTGTTACAGTGAGGGAAAAAAGTATTTGATCCCCTGATGATTTTGTACGTTTGCCCACTGACAAAGAAATGATGAGTCTATAATTTTAACGGTAGGTTTATTTGGAGAGTTTGGAATCTGATTGATTGATTGCTTCTGTGAACAGGTGTCTTTTATACAGGTAACAAGCTGAGATTAGGAGCACTCCCTTTAAGAGTGTGCTCCTAATCTCAGCTCGTTACCTGTATAAAAGACACCTGGGAGCCATGAATCTTTCTGATTGAGAGGGGGTCAAATACTTATTTCCCTCATTAAAATGCAAATCAATTTATAACATTTTTGACGCGTTTTTCTGGATTATTTTGTTGTTATTCTGTCTCTCACTGTTCAAATAAACCTGCCGTTAACATTACAGACTGATCATTTCTTTGTCAGCGGGCAAACGTACAAAATCAGCAGGGGATCAAATACTTTTTAAATCCTTTATATTAAGTTCACTTGCTTGCGCGCTTGCGACCGTGCAAATCTTTCGGTCGTTTTTTAACCCACTTCCCGTGATCCAATCGAGCTGACATTTTGCACACAGACTCGTTGTGCGTGACAATTTATTTTCGTGAAATTTTTTTCCTAAATTTTACACTTTTTAGGAAAAAATTAATTATATTTAATTACCAATTGCTTAATGGTGGCAGGCAATCATCTGACCCATAGGTGGCAGCCATCTCAAGCCAGAGGACGAGAGGACTCTAGCCGCCACGCACATAAAGGATTTATAGTGAAAAACTTTGTTTTTACGGGTTAATTTTTTAAGATCCTGTGTTAATGTCATTACATCTTTGGAATAAAAATACAGAACCTACACTACTGGAATCATGTTGAAAGTTTCATATCAAATGTTTTATCGGTCTAAAATTTGTATTATAATTAATTTAAACAAAAGGTTTCTCGGATAGTGAAACATCAGGTGAGAAAACATTTACATATTTGAGACAATAGTAGTTGTTAATGTATTACGTATTTCAAAATATTGTATGGATAAACGAATGGGGTTTAAGTCGGTATGAGCACATGTTTAGTGTATATTGTATATTGGGTGTGTATTAGTTATTTGTATAAACCATTATGAGTGAGTCTGAATGCTTATATCATTTCAGATTTCCAATGCCCGGTAAAATAAAAACCAGTGAAATGAAAATCAACTGGTAAGTACAGCTATGGTTTCAATGCTCCTGTTAAGATAGCACATGCGTTTACATTTGGAGTTGGTTATGAACTTTCTTTATAGCTAGCAACACAATTTCGTGTTTAGACCTTCTTGGTTCTTTCGGTAAAGTCACGTAGAAGGGAAGTAATAAAATAATAAAACATAATAAAATAAAATAATTCTCACGACGTTTCGGCTACAACGCAAGCGGCCGAAACGTCGTGAGAATTATTCTATTATGTTTTATTTTTATTATTTTATTACTTCCCTTCTACATGATGACTTTACCGAAAGAACCAAGAAGATGAATCCCTGCAGTCACGAAAAAAGCTTTAAATCGAAAAATTCGTGCTTAGAGTTTTAACGTTCTACACATTTGCAGATTATTATACATTTTAATTGGAGAGCCTTCAAGATGTATTGACACTCACTTTAACACTCGAAACTGCGTCTATATTGCAACAAAAAGTGTGTTCAAGTGGAGAATTCTGCTTTGCTACACAATTGAAATGATGCTTTGTTTGTAGTCTCATTCAAGCTCAGCTGGGATGTGTCCTCGTGCAAGATTTTGCGTTGATACAGGACACTGCGAAAATCTTCAGGACTGGAATCAGACTTACAAAATGTCAGTTTCAACTGCACCATTAAAACAAATGCACTTTGTTTCCGGAGCTAACGTTTAAAAGCACGGCAGTATTTATATCTATCTTCTCCAACCATTATATATACGGAGTGGTAGCTCTTGCAATCTCTCATGTACTTGATACGGCTGTCGTGGCTGTGACGGTTCCACCTGAAGATGGAAGCTTGCGTTGCCTCCGAAACGTCGTGATTTTTATTTTATTTTACTATTTTATGTTTTTTACCTACACGGTGACTTTACCTAAGAATATGAATCATTGCAGTCACGAAAGCTTCAAATCTAGAAGTATTAATATCTGTTGTAACTCCGTTTTGCGTTTGTAGGTCTCGCCGAATTTTTGCAACAAAAGGATAAACGGAATAACTTCCAGGCCGTGCTGAATGCAGTCCAACTCACGAAATGTTTTCGTGCAAAGCTTTGGGAGAATTCACCTTCCGTTTTAAAACAACTTGAAAAAATCGGTAAATGATCGTCCCTTTTACGTATAAAAGCAATACGTACGCAATGATTGACAACCACGAAATTCTATTCAGAAGACCCTTCAATTAGACGCGACTTAACCTCGGTGTGTTTCTGCTGTAGGCTTCTCAATGTCCAGCGCACTGGTCAACGCTGGATTGACATCTTTTGAGAAAATTGCAAACACTCATGGGCGGGAAATTGAGTTGGTGAGATCATGGGTTCATCGTCTTGGTTCTTTCGGTAAAGTCGTCACGTAGAAGGGAAATAATAAAATAATAAAAATAAAACATTATAAAATAATTCTCACGACGTTTCGGGCCACAACGCAATTTGAATAGTAAGGAGCTGCAGATGAATCTGAAGATGAATGCCTGCAGTCACGAAAGCTTTAAATCGAAATGTGTCAACAGCGCAAAAGGCGTACAGCTCACAGACTATTCTGCGCTATCAAAGTAACGAGGGCTCGGGGTGAGCATCTACATCATTAGACCTCCTCTGGTCTGGCACCAATTGAGGCGAGGCTCAAAAGAAAGCCGTCTCTGGGGTGGACCAATCGGTTCCAAGGGCAATGCATCATATTATCAGAGTGTGTGTTTTTGTTTGCATGTTGACCACAAGCAGGGGCGGTTTCTTCATTAGGGCGATTGGGCGACGCACCACCAATGTCATTGAACCACAGAGTCACGCTAGCCGTCACTGTCAGCCTCTGGATATAGTCCAATCAGCGTAATGTCACGTTCTGTGGAGTACCGCCTCTTTTTGGGCGATTTCACTCCGGCTGAGAATCGCCCCGAGTGGCCCCATAGACTTGCATTCAAAGATGTTCTTTTCGAACGGGGGCGCTGCAAAGCATTCTCTACGGCTTCCGGGAGGGCTCGCCCTAACGTGCTTACGTCATCATACGTAAGCTACCTAGTGGAATCTTTAATAAAAGAAACTGAGTGGATTGTAATAATAGTGAGTTTAGAAACAAACAAGATGTATTGTAAGAGTCACTTTATTTGTCATTAATATTAAAGAAGTGAAGTTGCCTTTACATGCTTAAGCTGTTAATTTATCCATTGCATGGGTGGAGCTTATCCTTATCAATCATCCAGACATTTGCCCCCCCTGGGAGATTTTGCAGGAGCCGCCACTGACCACAAGTATTGTGGTGAATGCACCACGTGATTCCTCGTAAAAAGGTTTCAGTTTTGTTGCCAGAAAAAAGGGGGAAACACTTTTATTATAATTATAACGCATTATAATCGTCAGCCTTCCTTAATAATAGTAACACCAGCCAATAACGAGTGCATTTCTTGTTTGTAAACAACATCATTGGAACCTCATTTGCCAGTAAAAATATGATAATTGTTTTTTTACCCTTCTATCTGGCAACAAAACTGACACCTTTTTTTTACTCCTTGTCAAAAAAAAGGTGTCCGTTTTGTTGCCAGATAGAAGGGTAAAACACCAATTATGTAAACAACATTTCAACAAAACTCAAATGATGTTTTTGCTGGTGGTGTATTCCTGCATTGTGCAGATAGTGAACAGACACCCTCCATTTGGGAACCAGATGAAAGACGCCGTTCAGCATCTTCCCAAGTACCAAGTCAGCATGGTGCAGGTAGATGAGTCTGAGCCCTCATCATACGTAAGCACGTTTCAGTCAACAATATTATTTGTCGCCACCTAGTGGAATCTTTAATAAAAGAAACTGAGTGGATTGTAATAATAGTGAGTATAGAAACAAGATGTATTGTAAGAGTCACTTTATTTGTCATTAATATTAAAGAAGTGAAGTTGCCTTTACCTGCTTAAGCTGTTAATGTATCCATTGCATGGGTGGAGCTTATCCTTATCAATCATCCAGACATTTGCCCCCCCTGAGAGATTGTGCAGGAGCCGCCACTGCTGCTGACTACAGTGGGGCAAGTGGCCGTTGGCTTTTAGAATGTTGCTACATCTTCTTGGTTCTTTCGGTAAAGTCACGTAGAAGGGAAATAATAAAATAATAAAAATAAAACTTAATAAATAATAATTCTCACGACGTTTCGGCCACAACGCAAGCAGCCGTCCTCAGGTGAAGAACAGGTCTGTCGGAAAGACAGCGTCTGAAGCAGACAGACCTGTTCTCCACCTGAGGACGGCTGCTTGCGTTGTGGCCGTAACGTCGTGAGAATTGTATTTTATTGTGTTTTATTTTTATGACTTTATTATTTCCCTTCTACGTGACTTTACCGAAAGAACCAAGAAGATGAATCTCTGCAGTCACGAAAGCTTTAAATCGACATGTTGCTACAATTTTTCTGTGTTTTGTTAAGTGTTTTTTCCCGAGGTTTTAAATGAAGAAATCGACTAATTAACTTTTATCTTCACCTTAGTAAAAGTCAATTTCATATTCTTAGGTTTTTTCGGTAAAGTCACGTAGGTAAAAAATTAAAATTAATAAAAGTAAAATAAAAATAAAATAAAATCACGACGTTTCAGAGGCAACACAAGCCTCCGTTTCCACCTGAAGACGGAGTTTTGTGTTGCCTCCGAAACGTCGTGATTTCCATTTTATTTTATTTTTATTAATTCCAATTTTTTTACCTACGTGACTTTACCAAAAAAACCTAAGATTATAAATCCGTGCAGTCACGAAAGCTTCAAATCTAGAAAAGTCAATTTAATTTCATGGCTTGCTAAGCTTTGCCTATCATCAATTCAGAATAGCGCTGGTTGCTGTTTGTCCCCCCAGGGTCACCGGCACTACAAGGCTGTGGCTGAGGTGATGATCACAGTGGTTCTGAAGAACTTTGCGGAGCTGCAGTCCCAGCGCACAGCTCCGGACAGCCACATCTGCACGCTGCTGATGGGCAACTCCGACAACAACCTCGTCCACCGGCAAATCATCACGTGCGCTCACATTCCACATCGCAGTAATTGTGACAAGGCCACGTGTGTTTGATGTTGAATATGTAATAACACGCTGGAGACGGCTTGTAGAATCGGTCCTTTTATTTCACTTTCTTTGCAGTTCACAAACACTCCCCGTTGCTGGCAGGCAACGGGAAGCGGGCAGACAGCCACCAGAGGCACACCACCACGTGGCACCCGGAGCCCCACTCGCGCGTGGCCTCTCCCCCTCTCTTAGTTCTGTGTTTGACCCCGTGTCTCTCCTCTCTCCCCTTATTTAACGCCTGGGTCACGTGGTACCCTCCAGCCAATCCTCAATAGCCTGCGCCGAATGTTCCAGATCCCCCATCAACTCCCGGGACCACGCCCCTGACTTGTCTTCCCATTGGCTGAGGCCAAGACCAGCAGAACCAATCACCTAGATTCCCCATCAACTCCCGGGACCACGCCCCTGACTTGTCTTCCCATTGGCTGAGGCCAAGACCAGCGAAACCAATCACCTAGCTGACATCCCGTGATCACGCCGTGGCCATGCTCCCAGGCTCTTCCCCCATTGGCTGTAAAGCGGGACCGGCCAAGTCGATCACCATGTGAATCTGACATAGGCTCTTATTACAAATAGAACAAAATCTTCATTAGCCTGATCATTTGAGAGGCAGACATCGCACCTGCTTGCTTTGACATTCCTCAAAGACACCGGTGAACCATCGACCGCATCACAACATCAACAGGGCAATGTGCTATCAACAACAAGGCAACTCCTACGACTAATTGGGAATGGGACACAAGCGTAGGATTGATCGCCCTGTCGCTGGCCGCCTTTGGGGAGAGTGTATCGTGTGAAAGGCCGAAACACCCTAGGAACCAAAGGTTCACTACTGACGATGCGCTCCCCAAATGTCACCAGGCTCACTGTTCGTGAACTCTTGGAAGTGCTTGCACAAAGGATAGTAACATCTCATCCTGTGTTCTTTGGAATCAGTGCGACGAGTGGCCATGTAACCCAAACTATGGAGCAGAAGTAAACCCCTGTGGCCTGCTCGCCTTCAAGTAGAACAGCTACGCAAACTCGCTCCTTAAGCTCTCGTGGCTATCAGATCTCGACATGGCATTTAGCTCCTCCTGAACATGCGGCAATATAAAGGAATAGAACACAACAATAATTAGCATCATATTCAAGTCAATGTAACACAATACACGAGCAGGGATTACGCCTCGTTCCTATACGTCAACAACATTGTTCCTCTTCTTGGTTCTTTCGGTAAAGTCACGTAGAAGGGAAGTAATAAAATAATAAAAATAAAACATAATAAAATAATTCTCACGACGTTTCGGCCACAACGCAAGCAGCCGTCCTCAGGTGAAGAACAGGTCTGTCGAGGCGACCTGCAGTCCCAGCGCAGACTCTGAGGACGGCTGCTTGCGTTGTGGCCGAAACGTCGTGAGAATTATTTTATTATGTTTTATTTTTATTATTTTATTACTTCCATTCTACGTGATGACTTTACCGAAAGAACCAATAAGATGAATCCCTGCAGTCACGAAAGCTTTAAATCGAAACATTGTTCCTAGAAACAAATATTCAAATTTTAAATGCACTTGTTACTGGCGAAATTAATAACAATCGCCCGTTTATTGATAGGGCCTTTTCATCCGGGGTGTCTATGAACGCAGTGAGCGACTGACGTCACGCTCAGACACATTTAAATGGGCACCCCCAGTGGCAACTGCCCCTGTGGACACAAGGAGATTCAGAAGCCGGCCTGCACTTGGGCATGAGGTTGCCAGTCGGGGGGGGGGGGGGGAATGGTTCATATTCTTAGGTTTTTTCGGTAAAGTCACGTAGGTAAAACATTTAAATTAAAATAGTTGCTGTGTGTACTTCCAATTGAGTAAGTTTTGGGTATTTTTATTTTATTTGTCAACGAGTAGAACTGGTCTACTCGTATTCTTAGGTTTATTCGGTAAAGTCACGTAGGTAAAACATTAAAAAAGTAAAATAAAATAAAAATCACGACATTTCGGAGGCAACACAAGCTTCCGTCTTCAGGTGGAACCGTCACAGCCACGACAGCTGCATCAAGTAAATGAGAGATTGCAAGAGCTACCACTCCGTTTATATAATGGTTTGGAGAAGGTGGTGGGGCAATGGCCGCATACTTTTTATCAATATGGTAAGGTGAGGCTTGAGAGGGTGAGCCTTTGTTACGGAGAGGCACTAGAATGTTCTACTCGTTGTGAATGTCAGAAATCTTGAACGTCGGGTGCAACACGGCGCACACATTTCATCACTGAGATACCTACGGCAATAGCAAGTTATGGAAGCTACGCGTACACCCATGTGACCTTCGCAGAGACGACATGCTGCTGAGAACGGGGAGTTGGATGAAGAAGCTGGAAGTTGTTCGGCCGGAAAAAAGTGACAAGCTCGACATCCACCTTCTCAGCTCGACGTACGGTACGTCCCAGGGCTGCCAACTCGTCCACAGACTACACTAGGTCATCGTTCTCAGTCAGCCTTGGTCAGGAGTCAGTTTCAGAGCCGCATGCAGCTGTCCACAGACTACACCAGGACATCGTTCTCAGTCAGCCTTGGTCAGGAGTCAGTTTCGGAGCCGCATGCAGCTGTCCACAGACTACACCAGGTCATCGTTCTCAGTCAGCCTTGGTCAGGAGTCAGCTTCAGAGCCGCATGCAGCTGTCCACAGACTACACCAGGTCATCGTTCTCAGTCAGCCTTGGTCAGGAGTCAGTTTCCTAGTCGCATGCAGCTGTCCACAGACTACACCAGGTCATCGTTCTCAGTCAGCCTTGGTCAGGAGTCAGTTTCCTAGCCGCATGCAGCTGTCCACAGACTACACCAGGTCATCGTTCTCAGTCAGCCTTGGTCAGGAGTCAGTTTCCTAGTCGCATGCAGCTGTCCACAGACTACACCAGGTCATCGTTCTCAGTCAGCCTTGGTCAGGAGTCAGTTTCCTAGCCGCATGCAGCTGTCCACAGACTACACCAGGTCATCGTTCTCAGTCAGCCTTGGTCAGGAGTCAGCTTCAGAGCCGCATGCAGCTGTCCACAGACTACACCAGGTCATCGTTCTCAGTCAGCCTTGGTCAGGAGTCAGTTTCAGAGCCGCATGCAGCTGTCCACAGACTACACCAGGTCATCGTTCTCAGTCAGCCTTGGTCAGGAGTCAGTTTCCTAGTCGCATGCAGCTGTCCACAGACTACACCAGGTCATCGTTCTCAGTCAGCCTTGGTCAGGAGTCAGTTTCCTAGCCGCATGCAGCTTTCCACAGACTACACCAGGTCATCGTTCTCAGTCAGCCTTGGTCAGGAGTCAGTTTCCTAGCCGCATGCAGCTGTCCACAGACTACACCAGGACATCGTTCTCAGTCAGCCTTGGTCAGGAGTCAGCTTCCTAGCCGCATGCAGCTTTCCACAGACTACAGCAGGACACAGTTCTCAGTCAGCCTTGGTCAGGAGTCAGTTTCGGAGCCGCATGCAGCTTTCCACAGACTACACCAGGTCATCGTTCTCAGTCAGCCTTGGTCAGGAGTCAGTTTCAGAGCCGCTTGCAGCTGTCCACAGACTACACCAGGTCATCGTTCTCAGTCAGCCTTGGTCAGGAGTCAGCTTCGGAGACGCATGCAGCTGTCCACAGACTGCACCAGGTCATCGTTCTCAGTCAGCCTTGGTCAGGAGTCAGTTTCCTAGCCCCATGCAGCTGTCCACAGACTACACCAGGACATCGTTCTCAGTCAGCCTTGGTCAGGAGTCAGCTTCAGAGACACATGCAGCTTTCCACAGACTACACCAGGACATCGTTCTCAGTCAGCCTTGGTCAGGAGTCAGCTTCCTAGCCGCATGCAGCTGTCCACAGACTACACCAGGTCATCGTTCTCAGTCAGCCTTGGTCAGGAGTCAGCTTCAGAGCCGCATGCAGCTTTCCACAGACTACACCAGGTCATCGTTCTCAGTCAGCCTTGGTCAGGAGTCAGTTTCAGAGACGCATGCAGCTGTCCACAGACTGCTGCATGGCGTCACGTATGTGCGTACAGTATTCACATGCACCCGGGGAGGGGGGGTAACTGATAGGCTCTGCCGGCCTCAGCCCTCAGCCAATGGGACGGCGAGCCAGGGGCGTGGCTCTGGGGTTGCATAGCAACATCTGGAAGGTTCCAGGGGAGAGGCTGAGGATTGGCTGGGGGTGTCACGTGGGCCAGGGGATATGAGGAGTGGAGAGAGACAGTTTGAGGTCAGTGCAGAGGTCGCCAACGGGTTTTGACTCCTTACCCCTCGTACCCGTACCTGGCCGCACCAGGGTCGCAAACGGGTACCCGTACCCTACCCGTACCCAGCCGGGTATCGGGTAGGGTACGGGTATCGGGTGCCCGATTGCGACCTCTGGGATGAAGCCATGTTGCAGGCGCGGGTGGGTTGATTCTAGGAACTTGAATTGTGAGAAGAGACAAGACGTTGGGAAATGAGTGACAAACGGTGACTCACCAGTGACTCACGGTCTACCCGTACCCGGCCGCACTAGGGTCGCAAACGGGTACCCGTACCCGGCCGGGTACCGTCACACCCCTTGTGTGTTGGGGACTGCGCCTCGTAACGAAGTTTATTCGTCAATAATTACAACACTACACTGTTTTGAAATTGATCTGGGATTACGTTGAGAGCCAGCGGAGGGATGTGAGTGTTGTGGCGATGTTTTGTTGACGGATGTGGACGAGAAGCCTGCCAGGGGCATCTTGGCTCATGTGGAGTTTGAGGATGTGAGGAGGAGATGTGAAGGTGTGGAAGGCAGCTGGGGTAAGGAAATCGGTGGGCGTGGGAAATGTGCAGGTGGAGGTATGAGAGTTTCCTCCAGAGTTGGTAGTAGCAAGAGAACTCGTGCTCAGGATCCGTTACGACTGCAAGGTTTCTCACACTCTTTGTGCGTTTGGCTGAAAAAATAAACAAGTGGTGAAGATGATTGAAACTTTAAAATTAATAAAAGTAAAATAAAATAAAAATCACGGCGTTTCGGGGGGCAACACAAGCTTCCGTCTTCAGGTGGAACCGTCACAGCCACGACAGCCGTATCAAGTAAATGAGAGATTGCAAGAGCTTACCACACTTTTTATTAAACCAACCATTATATATACGGAGTGGTAGCTCTTGTAATCTCTCATTTGCTTGATACAGCCTTTGGGGAGGGTGTATAGTATGAAAGGCCGAAACACCCTAGAAACCAAAGGTTCACTACTGACGATGCGCTCCCCAAATGTCACCAGGCTCACTGTTTATGAACTCTGGAAGTGCTTTGCACAAAGGATGTAACATCTCATCCTGTGTTCTTGGAATCTGAAAAAGCTGTCGTGGCTGTTGACGGTTCCACCTGAAGACGGAAGCTGTGTTGCCTCCGAAACGTCGTGAATTTTATTTTTTTATTTTATTAAATGTTTTACCTACACGGTGACTTTACCGAACAACCTAAGAATATGAATCCTTGCAGTCACAAAAGCTTCAAATCTAGAATGATTGAAGCTATGGTGGTAAAATGTGCTTTTCATGCTTTCCCAGTTGTATGGACATCCATCAGAGCTTCACTCATCCTACTCGAGCCCACGCACCCTGGGCTCTATGGGAATGAGAGGCATCTGCAGGCCCAGTCCCTGCATGCTGCTACCTGTGAGAACCAAAGACGTCTGTCTCAGCAGCAGGAGCAGCAGAGCACAAGCGAGCCGGCAATGGTTTGTGTCGCCTCGTTTCTACATGCATTTTAGATCAATTGGTTTTATTTCCACCGTAATGCATTCGATCCCATAGAATCAATCAGAATGCACCTCTCATATTTACAACACTGATATAATCCTTAAATTGTGCAATTTTTAACACCAACTCAGCGTGTGGCAAGTGTGAAGCAATATACACAGGGGACGTTCAGTGTGGGGCATTCTATTTTGTTTGGGAGTTGACCTGTACACCTACAACTTACTGCAAAGATAATCTCTTGTGTGCTAACAAGTTCCAAACTGCAGCAGTGGCCATTGACCCCCCCCTCCCTCCCCTCTTCCTTGAGATGCCGAAAATTAATATTTATTCTCAGAGAAATACTTTAACTATATATATTTTTCTTCTTGGTTCTTTCGGTAAAGTCACTAGAAGGGAAATAATAAAATAATAAAATACAACATAATAAAATACAATTCTCACGACGTTTCGGCCACAACGCAAGCAGCCGTCTTCAGGTGAAGAACAGGTCTGTCGGAGAGACAGCGTCCTGAATGAAAAGTTTCTTCAGACCTGTCTTTCCGACAGACCTTTTCATTCAGACGCTATCTCCTCGACAGCCCTGTTTCTTCACCTGAAGACGGCTGCTTGCGTTGTGACCGAAACGTCGTTAGAATTGATTTTATTATGTTTTATTTGCATTATTTTATTATTCCCTTCTAGCGTGCTTTACGAAAGAACCAAGAAGATGAATCCCTGCAGTCACGAAAGCTTTAAATCGAAATATATATTGTATACGACTTTAGGGATCCAATTGTAAGTTCAGGACTGGTCCCCACCCACCCACCCTCCTTGAACAATTTTCAGACATACTTCTGCACACGAGAGTATTTTACATATCTCAACTCTTCACTCGACCTAAACTATGCTGAAAGTAATGTTCATTAAAGTTCAGCATTTGATCGTATGAGTCACGTAATGTGTAATGTGTCGTTATAAAATACGTTTACAGTGAAGCAACTTGCTGCTTGGATGAATCCAAGAGAGGCTGTCTTCATAACTGCAAAAACAACAATCGTGTGGGCACGAGTGCTGTGAGTACCTTCATCACGATGAAACATACTTACAAACAGGGGCGGTTTCTTCATTATGGGTCGATTGGGCGACGCACCACCAATGTCATTCAACCACAGAGTCCACGCTAGCCGTCACTGTGCCTCTGGATAGTAGTCCAATCAGCGTCATGTCACGTTCTGTGGAGTACCGCCTCTTTTGGGCGATTCACTCCGGCTGAGAATCGCCCCGAGTGTTCCCATAGACTTACATTCAAGATGTTTTTTTGTTCGACCGGGGGGCGCTGCAAAGCATTCTCTACGGCTTCAGGGAGGGCTCGCCCTAACGTGCTTACGTCATCATACGTAAGCACGTTTCATCCAACAATATAATTTGTCGCCACCTAGTGGAATCTTTAATAAAAGAAACTTGAGTGGATTGTTTTAATAGTGAGTATATAAACAAACAAGATGTATTGTAAGAGTCACTTTATTTTTCAATATTAAAGAAGTGAAGTTGCCTTTACATGCTTAAGCTGTTAATGTATCCATTGCATGGGTGGAGCTTATCCTTATCAATCATCCACATTTGCCCCCCCTGAGAGATTTTGCAGGAGCCGCCACTGCTTACACATTGTTACTACAACACCCGATTGTGATTATGTTGGGTTGCGTATCTTATCATGTTTCAT